GGGCCCCCTGCACTTGCCTGGGCTTTAGCTAACGATGCTAATCTCAGAAGCAACACACGGATTGGCTCTCCTTTGCTTATGACATAAGGAGGGTACTTCCAGAAGTCTGGAAAAAATGACATTAAAAGAGAAATTTATTTTGATGCAAAAATTTTAAATCTTGCATTTTATTTATGATATACCTTTTCCATGAAACTTTTGAAGACTCCTTGAATCAAAAAGAACCATCAAGGTCATTTAGGTCAGTTAGGCAAATCTCCTGCTTAATTTAAGATCTCCTTTTTTGCTTTTCATATTGGTGGCCTTCTTTTGTGTCAGTTCTACAATTTTTCCCTTTATATAGGAGATGGTTTCTTTTTTTTCCCCCAGAAACCTTTTATTTAAGGTATGTAAACTTACACATTTCGTAAATACAACTTGAGGAACACGGTGATTCTTCCCACCCTACACGCCCAGGAGATAGTTTCATCTCAGGAAAACTGACTTTCATGTCTCACATTTATATTTTTGGTCATTTGTGCCCACTTGTTTTGAAATCGGTTGAGTACATAGGCCTTTGACTTGCTTTTTCTCACTTGCGTGTAATAGTTTTACCCATCTTTTGTTCGATAACACTGAGGTTAGAACTTTAAGTGATTTTGTGACAATTGGTTTCAAAGATGATGTTGATTTAAGCAGCAGTGATTTGACACCCTGGTCATGAAATTTTACACTTTGAAACTCACACAGATCCAACTAATGATTTCTCTCCCAGAGAGGCATGTACCGCAGGTGGGCCATTAAAATTTCAGTTTCACTTGCAATTTATCCTGTGAAGAGAGGATGATTCTAAAATTTGATTCTGAGGTTTGTAATAATCTGTAAGGTTGCAGATCTGCAATGAGGCAATGAGTGTTCCTTTTCAATCTCTTATCAAAGTGTAATTAACTGAAGACATTGACTGCTATGGAATAAATCTTGTGACTTTTAGACTACCCTGAGTACACTCAAATTTCCAAATCCTGATTATGTAGTCAGTGGCTGTGCATTATCTAGTTCATGGAGTGTTCAGATCTTTGCTCAATATAGTGAATTATAATGGGGAGAGCAATGTCTTTGGAGAAAGCAAGACCTGAGCTCAGCTCTCAGCTTGACCATTTACCAGCTCTAGGTCTTTTGTCAGTCATCTAACCTTTGTCAGCCTCCCTCTCCTCTTCTGTGAAGCAAGTGCTATCAGATAGACACGTTATGTTGTGTAAGGATTGTATGAGATAATGTTCATAAAGTATGCAAACAGTGCCTGGTGCTTAGTAGGTGGTGAGCTAATGTCAGGTATCCTTTCCTTCTGTTTCCTGTCCTATTTTCCTTTTTGCATCTGGGTTAGCAGACAGAAGCGCTGGGCTTGATTCCTGGGTCATTCTTTATCATCCTAGAAAATCAGGAACATTTTCGGAATATTTTGTGTCATAATTGCTTACCCCTTAGTCCTCATTGCAAGGGTAAATACTACTACTGATGGGAAGAGAAGGGAAGGGAAAAGCTTAGGAATGAAAAGAGGATGTTGGGGATGGGGCGGGGGGAGGTTGGGGCGTAGCACATAAAGCTACCACCTTTGATGCTGGCATCCCATATGGTCACTGGTTCATGTCCCACCTTACACTTACAATCCAGCTCCATGTTAATGGCTTGGGAAAGCAGCAAACTACTTGGGAGACCCAGATGAAGCTCCTGGCTCCTGGCTGTGGCCTGGCCCAATACTGGCCATGCAGCCATTTGGAAAATGAACCTGCAGATGAAGTTCTCTCTCACTCTCCCTCCCTCCCTTCCTCCCTCCCTCCCTCTTTCTCTGTAACTCTGACTTTCAAAATAAATAACTAAATCATTTTTAAGTGGATGTTTGGGAGATAGAAGAGGGTGAGAGATGTGGGAAGAGGAAGTGACAAAGAAGAGAATAGCAAGGACAAAGGCCCACCTAGTAGGGGATGGGAGCATTATGTAGAAATGACAAGCTTTCTTAGAGCCAGGCCATTGTGTGCTGCAGAACCAAGACCAAAGGACATGGATAAAATAGATCTGTGTTCAAAGCCTGGCTTCTCCAATGATTAGTTCTGGGACCTTGAACAAGATTTTGAACCTCTAAGCATTTCAGTTTCCAAGTGAAGAAAACAACAGCTAAGGTTGCTGAGTACTTTGCTGCATGTCCGTGTTCTTCATTTAAATTCTCACGTGGATTCCATATGGTGTTATGATGTTTAGAATTATTATCCTTATTTTATAAATGTGGAAACTGGCTGAAGGACATGATCATGCTTGTTCAAGATCGTAGAACCAGGAGGCCGGGATTTGACCTAGTGGTAAGACACTATTTGAGCAATAGGACCAGAGGCCCTGTTTGTCACTGACCTGTGGCCAGGTCCAATGTGGGGAGAAATACGAAGGAGGTGGTAGCCTTGGGTTCTCAGTGAAGGCTTTCTGCCCTGTGCCAGCATCCTGAGATGGAGCTGAGACTTTATTTACTGGGGGATGGGGGGTTGGGGGTGGTCCCTCCAACCTGTTGGGGCCCAGCTCCTTTGGGTTCCTCTGACACCCCTGCCCCTGCCCAGAACAAGTGCCAGTTCTCACTCTGGAGCCTTAATAAACTGCAGTTTGTATCCAGAAAAAAAAAAGACACTATTTGGGACACCCATAGCCTCTATCAGAGTGCCTGGGCTCAGGGTCCAGCTCAACTCCCAATTCCAGCTTCCTGCTAATGTGCACCCTAGAAGGTAGCAGGTGATGTCTCAAGTACTTGGGTTTCTGCCAATCATATGGGAGACCTGGGTTGAGTTCCCAGCTCCCAGCCTCAACCTGGCCCCAACCTTGGCTATTGTGGACAGTTGTACAATTTGTGTCTCTTTCTTTAAATATTCACTTATTTAAAAGGCAGAGTTACAGAGAGGGGCAGGGTGGCGGGGGAGAGAGAGAAAGAGAGAGAGAGAGAGAGAGAGCGAGCCTCCATCCCTTGGTTCACTCTCCAAATGGTTACAATGGACTCTGCTGGGCCAAGCTGAAGGCAGGAGCCTGCTACTCCATCTGGATCTCCACGTGTGTAGCAGGAGCCCAAGCACTTGAGCCATCTTTGCTTTCTCAGGCATATTAGCATGGAGCTGAATTGGAAGTGAAGCAGCAGAGATCCAAGCCAGTACTCATATGGGATGCTGGCATCACTGGCAGCAGCTTACCCACTGTGCCACAGCACTGGTTCCTGTCTGTCTGTTTCTGTTTTTCTGTCTTTTGCTGAGAAGATGAATTTGAGAAGGTGAAATTATCAAATTCCCACAACTTTTGCCCTTGCCCCCTTATCTATGGGCCTATATGACAACTGATGTCATGGTAACCAACAGGCCCACCTGCTAGCCCAGGCTGTTATATAACTAGCCCCAGGCCACTGTGGTCTGTAAGTCCATTTAAGCAACTGGAGGTCATGGCTAGTTGTGGCTGTTGGTGGATGCAGATGCTTGTGGATGCATGTGGACACGCGTATGCAGCTGTATGTGGGTGTGTGGCTATATGTGTGGATATATATAGATGTCTCTGTGTGTGTGTCCAACTGCCTCAGCAGACACAAAGGAGGGTATCCCCTGTGACCCCATCACTGTTGGAGGCTAGTGGCTGTTCCTTGTGCATTTCTTACTGCACCATTGTGAGTAAAGGAGATGTAAACTCACAAAGGACTCTGAGTTGTTTTCTGACCTATCGGTATCCAAATCTTGTCCTGAGCCCTAAACCCTGGGCATACACTTTCAAGTAAGTAAAATAAATAAATGAGTAAATAATAAAACTTAAAAAAAAATGGTCACAGAGCCAAGCTTTGGCTGTGGATGCCATGCCCTAGAGCTCACATGTTGGGATTGCGTTCAAGCTATGTCCAGGGTGTACGGAGGACATGAGGTACGACTGTGAATGGGCCACACAGGATCTGCCGTTTGTGCTGGGACATGTGCACCCTTCCTTTCCCTTTCACTCTTCCCCTCTCCCTGGCTGTTTGCCTTCTATTAGCCATGTGGTGCGACTTAATTCCAGAAATTTCCCATCTGGTTAAATGGAGAAGAAGAAACGACTGTGCAGCTTTACCTGAAACACACTCTCAGTTTCATTGTCAAGGAAGTCAAGTTGGCTTAACTGAAGCCTATTTTCAGGGGTTGGTTCTATTGATTCCACTCCTGGCTATGAATCAAAACAAATCTAAGTTACTTGGTAGTAGAGGAGACAAAACTACTTCACACACACACACACACACACACACAGGGGAATTGATTATTCAGTTTCTTCTCAAATATGTTTGGAAGACTTTGTCAAGTTAAATGAAGCCATATTTGGCCACTGTCTTATTGATTGGTGGTTATTTCTTCTATCAGGTCAGCCTGTGTTTCAGCATCAAATAACATTGCCTGATTGCCCATTTGTCAATTCATCATTTAACACTTACTGGTAGTCTGTTACATTCTAAACACTATGCTACATATGAGTAATATCCAGGTAAATGAGATAGGCCTTCTTTCAAGTAGGTCATTGTCTAATGATCCAAAAGTAAATGTTTACACTCTCACATAAGTTCAGAAACAAAGGCAAATACAAGGTTTGTCCTTTGTGTTCTCTATTTTTACAAGACCAGAATGTTTTTTTCTTATGATGTACATCTTCACTTTTCTATTGAGAATTTTTCTGCATTTCAATAAAAAATAACCATACACACTTGTTTTGAGTTTTTTATTAATACAGATTTTAAAAGTAAGTTAGAAAATAAATTTTCTCCTTATAATTGTTTAAAATTATTAAGGGAAACTTTGTTTTTTCCAACTATGAGGCCAAATGTTCAGTAATAAGCAAAAAGAAAAAATACTGGGACACAAAGAAAATTGAAGTTATTCTATAATCCTACTCTATAGGAATCATTTATTGAATGACCAGTTGACTTGTAAAGGTTTTCTATTGTATACATATATGTGAAAATATGGGATTTTTTTTCCTTTTCAAAACAGAGCCTGTTGGAACATTAGATGTCTGGTACATAAAGCAGCATGTGGACTACAACAGACAACACATTTCTCTTTTCTGGAAGGTAAGTTTTCAGTTTCAACTTAAAACTCAAGGGACAGAGTGGGCATTTGTTCTCATGGTTAAACTACTTGTTGGGATGCCATGTCAGAGTGCCTGGGTTCAAGTTTTGAGTCTGTTCTTGACTCCAGATTTTACTAATGTGCACTTAGAAGGTAGCAGGTGACAGCTCTAGTACTTGGGTCCCTGTCGCTCATGTGAAAAACCCAGATTGAGTTCTCAGCTCCCAACTTTAGCCTGGCCCAGCCTTGTCCACTGTGGGCATTTGGGAGTGAACCAGTGGGTGGGATCTCTCTCTCTCTCTCTCTCTCTCTCTCCTCTCTCTCTCCCCTCTCTCTCCCCCTCTCAAATAAAAATAAAATAAATTTAAAAAATGTTTTAAAGCCAGGTACACTCTGCCTTTAAAAAAAAAACCCAAGGGGAAAAAAAAAAAACTCAAAGGAATTACACATTTGAATGACGAGTTTCAAGGCAGAACATCCATAGTGGCTTTGATATGATGCTTCAGTGGTTTTTCTCAAACTGATTCATGGTACATGATGCAGTGTCATTAACCTTTCCCAGAAAAGGAGGAGAGCTCTGGCTGAGTTCTTTCCTCCATGCTACTTCCTGTCCAGTCGTGGTCCCTTCTCATCTCTGATTCCCCCACCCTCTGACCCCAAATACCAGGTCTCTTCGAACTCTCTTTGTGTTTCCCTCTCTTTCCATCCCTCTCTCTTCTTTTTTTTTTTTTTTTTAGACTTATTTATTTATTTATTTGAGAGGCAGAGTTAGAGACAGAGGGAGAGACAGAGGGAGGAGTCTTCTGTCCACTGATTCACTCCCCAAATGACCATAATGGCCAGAGCTAGGCCAATCCAAAGCCAAGAGCCAGGAGCTTCTTCCAGGTCTCCCAAATGGGTTCAGGGACCCAAGGACTTGGGCATCCTCCACTGCTTTCCCAGGCTATTATCAAGGAGCTGGATTGAAAGTGGATCAGCCAGGACTCAAACTGGTGCCCATATAGGATGCCAGCACTGCAGGCAGACTTAACCTACTACATCCCAGAACTGGCCGCTCCTCTGTCTTCTAAATCATTTGCCCAGCAGTGACTATGCCACCTTACCTTTTCACTCTTTGGGGAAAAAAAAAAAAGATGAGAAAACTGTGAGTGTGGGGTATTGGAAATGGATTTCCTGTAGTCCCTGAAAAGGGAGAGAGCAGGAAAAAAATAGCTACCCCACCTTAGGAATACTAGTAATGGTGAGAAAGGATATAAACAGGATTAGGAAGGAGCCTGGCTCAGAAGTAAACCATGAGGCTGAACATTATTATAGAATGTAAAAATTCCACCAAGTGCTGAAAGCTGGCATTGCCATTTCATGTAATCACCAACAAAAACCTTATGAAGGAGACACAGGTATCCCCAATTGACAGATAAGAAAGCCAACTGTCAGAGAAAGGAAGTCCTTGTTCAAGGTCATCCAGCTACTAAGTGCAGATCTGGAATTAAAAAAAAAAAAAAAGGTTTTATTATTTGACAGAGTGACAGAAAGAACAAGGAAAAAGAGGAAGGAGAGGTCTTCCTTCCGCTTGTTCACTCCCCAAATGGCTGCCACAGCTGAGGCTAGGCCAGACTGAGGCCTGAAGCCTGGAACTCCATCAGAATCTCCCACGCGGGTGGCAGGGGCCCAAGCACTTGAGCCATATTCTGCTGCCTTCCAGAGAAAATTAGCAGGAAGCTGGATTTGAAGTGGAGAAGCCAGGACTTGAATCAGCACCCTGAAATTGGAGGCCAGAGCCATAAGTAGTGGCTGTACCACAACACTGCCCCACCCCCACCATTCACAACTTTTTCTGCTACATCATGACTCATGGTTGTTGAAAGAAAATGCTCTTTGAATTGAGCTACTAATTTGTAAGCTTATGTGAAGGGATTTCCTGTGAGCTGTGTTCCTCTTTATTTCTCAATACTCATACCTCTTTCACTACATCTCTTCCAGTTAGAGGTAAATGAACAATTTTGGGAATTATGAACCCAATGAATATAACATTTTCTGATGGTTTTACCATGATGGATTTTAATAATTATAGTCTTCTTCAATTTTAAGAAATGAGCCCTTGCTTTCTCTCTTTCTCCCTCTCTCTTTCTCTCCCCCCCCAAAAATATCTCATATAAAAGGAAACTACTATAAATAGCTAGCTGAATCAAGCACTTTGTTTGGAAGCTAACACTGCAGCTGTACCAATGCCATCTCACTAGTCAAAGTGATCAGTTTCAGTTCATAATTGATCATAATGATAGGATCAAGTGTCAAAGGAATCACATAAACAAGACTAGTGTCTGCTAATACTAACTGATAGAATTAAAAAGGAGAGAATGATCCAACATGGGAAGCAGGATACACAGCAGACTCATCGAAAGGCAGATGTCCTAAACAGCACTCTGGCCTCAGCATCAGCCCTTAAGGCATTCGGATCTAGCTGAAGAGCCCATGAGAGTTTCACAGGCATGGAAAGCCAAGACACTGGCAAAAAAAAAAAAAAAAAAATGACCTAAATGAAAGATCTCTGATAGTGAGATCCCAGCGGAAAGAACAGGCCATCAAAGAAGGAGGTACCTTTCTCTGAATGGAGGAGAGAACTTCCACTTTGACTATGGTCTTGTCTAAATAAGATTGGAGTTGGCGAACTCAAGAGGCTTCCATAGCCTTGGCAGCTCATGACAAGAGCCTTGGGTGATTACTGACATCATAAATAAGTGTCCATTGTTAAATCAACAACAAGAGTCATATGTGCACTTACTCCCTATGTAGGATCTCTGTCCTTAATGTGTTGTACTATGTGAATTAACAGTATAACTAGTACTCAATCAGTACTTTATACTTTGTGTTTCTGTGTGGGTGCAAACTGTTGAAATCTTTACTTAGTATATACTAAGTTGATCTTCTGTATATAAAGATAATTGAAAATGAATTTTAATGAAGAATGGGATGGGATAGTGAGTGGGAGATGGGATGCTTGTGGGTGGGAGGGTGGTTATGGGGGGAGGGGGAGCTGCTATAATCCAAAAGTTGTACTTTGGAAATTTATATTTATTAAATAAAAGTTAAAAAATTTAAAAAAAAGAAACTAACACTGCAGCTCAAATTTTATTTTAAAATAAAGCCTATTCTCAAAGCAGGGCACTCAGAATAGCACTAATCTGGGAATACTACAAAAAAAACCAGCCCAGTTCTTAGCTACTGGTTTTCATTTTCTCGACTTAGTTTGGTTAAAACCAAAATCCTCCCTACCATCAAGTTTCCTGCCCCCAAAACATCCTCTCCATGGTGATCTGACAGATGTCTTAGTCCTGTCTCACCCCTCTGTACTCACGGTTTCCCTCAGTAGAATGAGAGCGACAATACTGCTCTCTGCAGCACTGATAAGACCATTGTGTGGGCCACTAATGACAAGACACTAGTGTGAAAATCAAGGGGCCACCAGATGAAATTAAATGGTACTGTGTCCTTATTTTTTATTCTTGTGTTGAAAGCAACATGCCCAGGACATGCTGATACAATCCTCACTGTACCACAGACAGTTTCTACCTGGTGTCAGTAAGGGACTCTGACACCAGTATGAGAGTCAAGTCAAATCAGTGTTTGTTAGCCAGAGGCGAAGCTTAGCAAACGTACACGTACGGATTCTTCTCTGCTGCTCTTGAACTTGTTCCTGTTCTCACTAAGTTTAGGCTCTCAGATGAGGTCTTGGAACTTGAAAGAACTTCCGCGTCCTTCTAGTCTACCCTTTCCTCTCCTTGTAAGCACGGCCCCTACTCCTGCGGTGATAGACAGGTGTCTCTGCCAGAACCCCGACAGCCTGTGCTGTGAGTGGATCTCTCTTGTGATGAGAAAATCTTTCATTTTGTGTAGCCAGAACTGTGGGCCCAAGCAGAATGCCTTGGACTGGAACTGGCTTGTAGAAGAAATCAAAGAGGTAAATCCTAGAAGCTTCTATCACTTGGTGACAGTGGCTGGTTTTCACAGGGCAACTTCCAAACCAGCCTAAGGACCCCCAGGGTGAGGAAACAGCCCCCAGTTTTGCAGGACCAAGTCATTTTCTGTCAAATCCTGGACGTCTTCAGACCACTCACATGGAGATGGGGATACAGACACTGACCAGAGTTACTGAGATGAGCAGTCCCGCTTTGGAGCGCAAACCACAGACCTCTGGAGCCACAGGGAATCAACCATCACATAGTTCCCCTCGTCCCCATCATTTTCCACACACGGAAACTGACGTTGAAAGAGGTCATTTGCAACAAGGGGCTCTCAGATGAGATGGCCCTGCTTCTGGGCGTGGGGGGAGTCACTGCCTCTTCTGTTTGAATCCCCCCAGAAAGCTCCATTTCCTCCTCAGACTGGGGATCCCTCCTCCACCCTCAGACAGTCTGCAGACTCAACAGGATGGTGACAGGGCACAAGGGGCTCATGTAAATGTCACACCAGAAGGGAAACGCTTTGTGGTGGAGCCCAAGTCATAGCTCAGTGGGGGAAGGGAGCAGCCATGTGCATGTGGTGAGGTTTTTCCCTGTGAGCAACGCTGGGAAACCAAATGTAAGGGCCACCCCTTGAATGAAGAGGGGAATTTCAGGCCGTGGCACCAGAGGAAGCCCCAGGAAAACCCCACCAGCCTGTGAACCAAGTGGCAGCTTTCATCTGGGGAAGTGGGCAATGGCCTTCAGTTTTGTAGAATGTTTATATTAGAAGAGAGTAAACAGGGCTGAACAGGTGCAGCCCCTGTTGTGGAGGGCGAGTGTGTGTATGTGTGTGCACATGTGTGTGCAGGAGTGTACATAAAAGGGTAGTTCAAAAAGCTCATGGAAAATGGAATTAAAGGATAAGTTTATTTTGGTGCAAAAAAAAATTTGAAATCTACGCACAGGTTTTTCAAAATACATAGTCTTCATGAGCTGTTTTGAAGACTTCTCATATGTGGGTGACATGTGGCATATGTGTGTATGTATGTGAATATGTGTGT